TACAGATATCAAATTCACCTGCCACAAATTAAATAATCGAGCTTTGGTTACTGGAATGTAAGCTCATTAACTGGCATTAATAAAACCAAACATATAGAATGATGTTCTTAATATTATTTTAACAAAATCCCTTTTAAATAGAAGCAAATGTAACAAAGACAAACCATTATGAAATGTTTTAGTAAGAGGTTTTAGATATTTTTTAAGTAAAAGAATAATCTTATACACAAGGGAAGGAGAATATTATGTTCTTCTATGAAAATGTATGGTTGGGAACCATTAGTTCCTTCTAGTGTGGGAATAATGACTGGCAGTTAGAATACTAACCAATGAAGATTAAACTGGAAAAAATATTTATTCGGGGGGAAGAATTCTACACAAGAGAGAGTCAAAGACTCTCCACTAGGCTCAGACCCTAGAAGGTTTCTCAGACTATAGGGGGTGACATAGCATTTCCGTCTTTACCCCCAAATAATCAGGAGGGTCCTTATCAATAGAAAGAGCTTTCTAAGTGGGATTCTAAACTTTGTTGGTTCCACAAGAAGCTACTTTATTCATCTAATTATTCGTTTATTTGCTTATTTGTCCATTCATTTCAATCACTCCTTTTACTAAAATGCAAACTTGATAAGGGCATGCATTTTTGTTGTCCACCTATAGCAGTGGACATTCATTCCTCAAATGCAGAATTTATAAAATATGGAAGTAAAATTTAATTTTCTTTTAAAAAACGAGTATTTGTAAATGCATACACCAAAATGCCATCACTGTCTATCTCTGTATGGTAGGACCATAAGTGATTTTCTTTTTGATTCTGAATGCCTACCATATGACAAGTTCTAGATATCCAATATTAAAAGGGAATTTCACTGTAAACAAATTGACCAACTCATTTAGAGAAGTCTTTAAATCAAGCAATATTTTTCTCACTCTAAATTCAGCCTAAATTTAAACTAAGAGGACAACTCCCTCCCTGGCCAAGAAAAATGACAGGGAAAAATGAAGGCCAGTGTTGCACACGTCCCCAAATGATAAAACTCTAGTTAAAAATTAAACAGTTGGGTTAGGAGTGTAACTATCAAAAGGCAGCATGAGGGAGCCTTGTAATGATGGACAGTGTTATATCTTGACCATGCTGGTGGTTATACAAATGTAAACGTGTGATAAAATTGTATGTGACTAAATACATACACATACATGAGTACATGTAAAACTGCAGAAATCTGAATAAAGTTGGTAAGCTATATCAATATCAATTTTCTGGCATAATACTGTGCTGTAATTATGTCAGATATTACCACTGAGGGAAACAAGTGAAGCATACAAGAGAATTCTCTGTACTATTTCTTATAGCTACATATTAATCTGCAATTATTTGAAAGTAAGCTAACCAATTGAAACAGCAGGATGCTTATCAAGACATTCTTTATATTAGCAAAATACTGGCACCAAGATAAGCCTCCGATAAAGGAAGAAATCTGTATGATAGTATGTTGGATAATTAAAAATAATACAATTCAATGTTTGCTGCACAGAGCGGTGTTTACCATTCAGAAAACAAAAGAAGGATTTACAAAATACGAAAGTGCAATCTAGTTTTGTTAAAAAAATAAAGAGCATTTGTAAAGGTAGACATCAAAATGCTATTAGTATCTATCTCTGCATGGTAGGATCATATGCAATTTTGTTTCTTTTTAATTTTGCTATTTCTTTTTTTCTCCTTTTAGAATGCACAGTATTACCTGAACAGGTAAAAAATAAAAATAAATTTATGAAAAATAAAAGGCTGCCTGTCATGTGGACAGGGCTCAGCTGAAATCTATGTAGCTCTGAAACAAAAACCAAGACAAGTGGTAATGTTAAGTACATGGAAAGCTATTTCAGTTCCATATAAGGATGAAGGAGCTACCTTCAAGAGCCGTGGAACATGAACCGCCACCTTATGAGCTCATGGCTTCCAAGGCAAGTGGTCTTCACCAAGGCCTGGTGAATTTCTTATTATGTGGACAGCAGTCTGGCTTATATAGGCTGGAAGGCTGCACCCAGCTGTTTTCCAATACTATGACTCTGTGTCATTTAATTTTGCAACAAATTTAACGGACACCATCTCTCATTTCAAAATCCCCTTTTATGTTTCAAAGTGCTTTTACATATGCTAGTTTATATTAATTTCAGTTCAGTATTTTTAAAAAACCCTGTTCCCCTGTAACAATTCTATGGAGTAGACAGGGCAGGTAATATCAACCTCCATGTCACCAAAGAAAAAAACCGAGGCAACCAGAGAGTGACCTCCTTTAAGGTTATGGATGAGTTATGAGACCACATCTTATTTCTCTTGATTCATGGCCCTACCCCTCTTCCTAACACCATTTGGCTTTTCCCATGTACCAGGATTTCCCAATCCTGGGTAGACTTGCCTAAAGTTGCTTGCACACTTGCCTGTCAGTTGAATGAAAGACAACGCTTGGCACAGAGTGATAGTAAATGCAATGACACATCCAGCTGACTGCTCACACTAACTAGCATTGACTCAGTTAATGTCCAATAACCAATACATCAACTCAACTCAATCAAGATTCACCAAACCGTTTGGTTGACTAGAACATCTGAAGAGGCTGGTAAATCTAACTGGGGTTCTCAGTCAATTTAACTGCCCTGCACCTGTGTCCCCATAGTCCTGGGAAGAACCCTGGTTAGTGGGGCTTCTGGGCCAGTTAAAGAGTGAATGAGGTTCATATTGGGCTTAATGAAGCAGAGCTTTGTTACTTTTACCAAAGGAATTAACAGAGGAATTTTCTATTTATTTTGCAGTGGCAGCAGATTAAGCACTTCGGCAATAATGTGGCAATTCACCAAAAGAGGTCTTAGTTAGGTGCTATCTGAAATCATGAAATTAAGTGGGAAAACATACACATGGAAAAGGTTTATATGTTTTAGAAAAATAAACCCAAATTTTAGACAAATGATACTCTTCACAAAGTATACTAAACAAATGACATATTTTCATTGGCTGATAGTGCCATTTACACACATATTTCATTTTCCATGTGCCAAGTCCTCCTCTGAGTGCTTCTCTTCACAACCACCCCACGAAAGTCATTACAGGAGGAAACCATAGGGTCAGCAATGTTAAGGTCATTTTCCCCCAAGTCACACAACCACCAAGTGGACGCAACAGGATTTCAACCCAGCTCTGACAACTCCCAAACCAGCATGCTTCACCGTTACTTGTTCTCTCAAAACGTTGGAAGTATGTGCTCTTTTTATAAACAGGAAATAATGAAAGTTTCCTTATAATGGCATAATAAATCACTCCAGGAGGTGTAGAGTTAACTTGGGAACAGCTGCAGAACAATGAGAGAAATTAGCCTGACTCTGACACATAGCAACACACAAGGAGGCAGAAGCTGGGTAAGTGAAAGAGAACGAATAAAGGCTGATGGAATCAATGTACTGGCATTATTAATAAATTACTGATCACATCGGTACTGTCACAAATGCCTGAAATATGATTCTTCCTAAGTACATATCCAGTCTCCAGCATTCAATCTATTCATTCCATCAATGAGCAATTACTGAGCACCAACCATATGCAGGCACTGTTCTAGGCAGCATTTCTGCAGTGATTCAAACAGACAAAAGTTCTGGACTTGGTGGAGTTGACATAACTGCATGAGAAAATGAGGCAGTAGAAAGGGAGTCTGAACAGATTTTGGTTTTAACCCTGGCCAGATGTCCTTAAGCAAATTACTTGAAATCTCGCTGAGTCTCAGTTCCCTCACCTCTAAACTGAGGATAATAATATCTGCTTTTATTATATCATCTTTTATTAGGAAAAATGGGAGTTTATATGTGGAAAAAAACTACTTATTCTTTGGTCTAGGAGAAACTGAGGTAGTTGACAAGGAATAAAAGTTCTGTCCTCATTATTAAATCCTTCAAAATATTTCATTCCATATTTTCCATGATCTAAGCTTTCTGGGTTTAATACTAACCATGTGTAAGACTTGCAGGGTCAGGGTAAGGTTATTCTTCCATACCTAGCCACCAATTTCCAAGTCTATGTTACAGGCTTAAGATGCTATAATTCTATACATTTCCCCTTATTGTGGAAGGAGGCCGGATTTAAATCATACTTTACTGATTATTTCATTTTAAGAGTTACAGAGAGATGCTGCTTCTTGCCTAATTTTTCAGAAATAGAGTCATAGCAATTGATTATCTCTAAAATCTTTGAATACTTATCTTTACTATGTTCTTTCACGGTGATATTATTTCACTGTGAGAATGATATAAAAGCTAGGTGGAGGTGGGTGTGTCACAGGCCCACAGGAACAACCATTGCCCGACAAGCAGTCACACCTTATTGATCAAATCAAAGAAAGACATTTGTTCCAGTCTCCTCCCCTACCCAGCCCCCACCCCTGTCCAGTGCTTACCTACCCAACGAGACAGGGGGGCAGGGGCATTTCCAAGCCTGTTTTTATCAGCCCAGCAAATCAGAGTCCTGCTTTCTAAACAAAGAGGTGCCAACCTTGAGACTATGAAAGCCAACACAAGCCAGGCATTGTACACAAGTGAAAAGAATATAATTAGCAAAGTTATAGTCACAATTAGGAAATACCTCCTCAGAAAAGTTTCCATTTAACCCTGAGCAGGACTTCAATTACCATTGTGCTTAACAAGGCCTCTGTCTCTTGGCCAGCCCAAACCTTTTCGATAGATCTAAGAATATTAGTGCCGTCCACAAAACACAGAGTCACAAAACCTTATGTTGGATTTTTTTTCTTTTTTGAATAACAGATGTGAAAAATGTGCACATTGGGACATGGAAGCTGTAATTCGAGAAAATAAGAAGCATAGTCACAGAAACAACTGGTCAAGTGTTAGCTAAATGATTCTTTCTCTAAGCTCTTTCTTCCTCTTCTTTAGAATTCCCTTTCTCATCCCTACAGAGAAGTTAGAAAAGAAAGACTGAGAAAGCAAAAATGGGTACTCACTTCATCTCCAGGATCTCCTCCAGCTGTTTCCTCCTCTCTATCCGTAGGTTGGCCAAGTGTGCCTCTTTTTCAGCCAAGGACTGCTGCGTGGCGGCAAGGCGAGCCTTGGTGGCGTCCAGTTCCTGTCTGGTCTTCTCCAGCGCATTCATCAGTTCTTCTATCTGAAAAGTGCATGGGACGCAGCATTATTTCTCCTCCATTCAAGCACAAGGCGTACCTTGCGTTCTGACAACAGACACAAGAGAATTAAAGCCATTCTTGAGCTGGGCATTGTATCCCGGCGTCCCTTCTTTCTTTGTCACTACTTAAAAATAAACATTTCAAACACAAGACATGTCCAAATTTCTCCAAGGTCCTCATTCAATTGGATTATCCAATAACTTTTATAGAAACTACTTAATGTATTTATTAGAACTGGAAGGTGAGTGGCTTGACCCAATTTCAACCTGTGTTTGGCAAAAATCTCATACTGCCTCACAGTTGGCTGAAGGCAACACTCAAATGCACTTTGCCTGGCACAATATACTTTTGTGTGTAGGCCCCAGAGCATTCTGACAGGAAGCTACTCTACGTGTTTCAAATTCATTCATGTTTTAGCCTATCAAAGCCTTGTTTGGCAAAAGCAATTTGATGGCCAAGGGGCCTCAGGGGCCCCCCTCTCACCTCACCTCCCTGTTTCACATTCAGGAAGCAAGGTTTGGCCAAAGGTAAACAGAATCCCAGCCACAAAAGGTTCAAGTTTGGTTTGCCCCTGAAGTTTGAGAGGGTTCTAAACTTGAAATAAATGACATGTAACTTTTATAGGGTGCTAATACACCATAGAAATAAGCCAGACTATCAAATATCCAGGGTTTTCATCCAGGTCCCAAAAAATTGGACCAGGGAGCCCCAAGGCAAGGCCTTATCCTTCCCGAACCATTGGAGACGTTTAAAAGCCAACACACAACAAAGAAGCCTGGTGTTTAATGGTTCTTTTCCAGAGCCTTCCGTGGAGCAAGCTGGTGAAATGCCATCCCTTGCACAGATGCAGGCTGCATCCACCCTGAGGACTTAAAACCATGGTTTCAGGAAGTTTTTAAACTCCAGAGTTGATGTTTGGGTTTCTAAGTCACCCCTTCCAGCTGAACTTGGCAGAATGGGATCATCTATCACTAAAGTCAACAGAACACCCTTCAAAACGTGTCAATGACATGTTAAGTTCCAATTCATAAAGACTTTCTACACAATTTCTGCAGTTTTACATGGAATTTATTCAGAATAAGCATGATAGTTCACATCCAAGGTAAATTACAGGCTTTTAAAATTCAGAAAACCCTTCATTCTGCCCTGATAAAAAGAGGAAACTCAATGACCAGGTAATATAAATAAAAGCCAAAACCAAAAACAGTTTTAAAAGCAAGGACTATAGAGCATAACCTATGAAAGTCACAGAACTACACAGGGATAAACAGCATTACTCTTTAACACATAACATTTAACATGCAAAATTTAAATATTAAAAAGCAATCAAACTTTTTAGTTTCTCATATAAGCTCATAGAATATCATAAATACAACTAGAAGCCCTTCTTCAAAACAATACTTGATGAATCTGAAGCAGAAGTGTTTTTGTCTGTTTTACCCTATTTTTTATACATTCAATAGCAGTGTTGCTTTTTAAAAGATCAATATTATGGTCATTCCAAGCATCAACTCAGACACAGTCTGCCTGATCCTCTGCTTGGGATGGTCTGTGTTCTCATGACTCCCTTTCCTTTTGTAACTTTTTTTTAATTCCAAATGTACTATCGATGTCAGAGAAGAGGGAGGGTGTCCAGGATTCTCACCTGCTGACTCCCTTATTAACTGAGCTGACCTGCTTGCAATCCACAGACACAGAATGCTACTTTATGGGTCTCCAAGTTCTTAGTTCACCTGCCACGTGACTGCTTATGGCAGACACTAACTAGTTTTATATTAAACCAGCTTTAACAACTACACCTTAGATCACTGTCATTTCCAAGCAGAAGCATTTAAGAACTAGCAGTCTACCACAGCCGTCGCTTTTCCTGGGCATAACGACTTCAGAAGCATGTTTCAGTGTCTCCTTCAGCCTGCGCCCCCGAGTGAGCACAACGAAGCTCAAGGCCAGAGCACACCACGTCAGCAAGGTAGCGCCTTCGCTGGGTTACAACACGAGACGAGAGGCTGTTACCTCCAGTGCGACTTGTCGGCCTTGACCGATGAACTGTCACACTCCTTATCAAGTGTCTATAACACCTGCCTCCACCTCCCTACCACCAGGTCCCTCTCATTAAGAGGATGTACTTTTTATTCTTGCTCTCCCAACACTTGCAGGCCAACGATACCCTCCTTCTTGCCATATGTCTTTTCTTAATGTGTAGTTTGCACAGCTGAACGGTTCCCCAACAACTTCTCCTCACTGGAAGTAATATTTTAGCTGTCCATGTCTATGAAACTTGTGCCTTAAAAATGATCAGATTTGAATCATGTCTCCATAACTCACTATATGACTGACAAAAGTTTCTTTATCTCTTTCGGCTTTGGGTTCTTTACCTGGAAACAGGAAATTATGTTATTTATTCCTATTAGATGTTTGTGGGTATTACATGAGATGACATAGCCTCTATATCATTTATTATTCTTCTAGTTAATATCAGTAAAATAACACTCTCTTAAAATAAGGTATACTCATATGGAATCCAAAAGACAGAAAAAATTTAATTTTTTTTAATATAAGAAAAATGACATTCTTTTTAGCTAAGATTACCCAAAATACCACCACATGGAGATAAACACTCTGAACACTTTGTTTTAATTTCTCCATCTCTCTCTTACTCTTTTACATATTACATATAATTGAGATGCTATGTATAATTTTGTAAACTGTTTTAAATATATATATATATCATTAGAAAGCCCCCCTTCTTATTAGATAGCCTCTCTGAAACACAGTGTAATGGGTGAGCGGGACTGTATCCATTCCCCATTCACCTATAAGCCAGCCTTTCCCTTGAGTTCTCAGAAGCTCGCCTTAGATTGAGAACTTACTTCCCCTGTTTCTCTTGGAAACTCTTCACCCTCCTGCATCCATAACTGGACCTTTCCCTTCATGACTCTGTCCCAGAGATATTTTCCTCATCAAAGTGGCTTCTCAGAGAAGGACTGAGGTTTGTCTCTATAGCTCTCAACACTATTCTGATACTTTTCCAAACTTTGTCTCCTTTTATTCACTTAACATCTTTCACATACACTGAACCACTTGATGATTACTTCCATTTAGATGTCACAGTATCACTTTGAATTCAGGATGATCCATGCACACCTATCTAAACCAAATCCCTACCACCTACCCCAGCTCTCCGTACCTGCCATTTCCTAACACATTGGTGACACTTTAGTCCAGTGTCCTCAGCTTTTCTCAGTGACTCATGTTTAAGAACCACATTTGTGTCTTCCCTCTCTTTCCCCTTTGTTTTCTCTTCATCATCAAGTCTATTTTGGAAACACTTCCTGAGACCATTATCTTTTTCTATCACTGCTTTTTATGCTTCCAGCTTGTATCCCTTCCCCCACCCCACATTTCTGACAAGATTGAAAATAAGTGTGTGTGTGTGTGTGTGTGTGTGTGTGTGTGTGCACACGTGTGTTCCCAGCCTTTGTTCCTACCCCAACCCTAAATAAGGACTTGGCTTTGCCTGTTCAGCTTCTTCACCGTCAAGAGTTCTCTCTCAGCCAGGACTATGCCTGGATTTTAGGAAATAAGTAGTAGAGTGAACCAGCAAAACTGTGTGCAAAGGTACAGTACTTTGAAGGGTAGGCTATGACAATCTATATGATAAAAAGGAGATACGAGTGAGAGAGGAAAGAGAAGTGATGAGCCTAGAGGCTGGGTACACAGAGGTTTTGTTTTGTTATAAGGGCAGAATAAGATGACTGAGAAGGTAGAGAAAAGAGGAAGGGGGAAAAGTTGCTAGGTGTTATTCCTGGGGCTTCAATGTTTTCCAAAGACACAGATTGAAGGTTAGACTTTCCTTTTGATTTTTTTCAGCTGTTTTGACTTTGTATCTTTGGATGTGACTTTGAACTGGGTGAGCCAAGATGCCTCGTGGGATTTATTCTTACAACTTGCCTCCCCACTTCCAGGAAAATATGCCTAAACCATCAATATTTCATCAAAAGTATCACTGGTCTGGTTCCATCATCTCAAGGGGCTCCTGATTACCTACAGTTGTGGTCTTTGAACTCTGTTCCCTAGACCACCATGAGTTCCAAAAAGGCATCTGGGGGCTGATAAACAGATTAGCGGAGTGGGAGAAAGGGTGTGAATCAGCAGAGAGCTCCATCCACCATCTCACACTCAAACGGAGTTGTTCTACTTTGTCTTCTATACAGAATTTTGCTTAAAACGTAATTTGAATTTTTCAGTTTTAAATATTTTACATATATATAAAAATAAATATTTAATATATGTAAATACATAGGTATGTATTTATATATAATTAAAATATTTTAAATATGGAGAATGGTTAAAATCGTGGATTAAGAAACCAGACTGCACGAATAACACTTGCTTTACCATTTATTATAGAGCCTTGGGAAAGTATCTGAGTTTCCTCATCTGTAACAATGGTATGTCTCACTAGAGTTACTTCAGGTATTAAATGAAGCAATGAAAGTGAAGCTATTAGTATGGGGACTGGCAAATATGAAAACACATAGAACATGCTTAACAGAAGAGATAGCGTGGCATAGTGGTGACAAACAGGACTGAGTAGCTAGCCTACCACTTACTATCTGTGTCCTTCTGAGTCAGTTATAAAAACTTTCTGAACTCAGCTTCCTTGCGATGTGGGAGCTTAGCTAAAAGGAGTTTGGTGAAGATTCAATGGGTTAATGTGCATGATGCACTAAGGACAACACCCAAGTATTTGGTGCCATAGAAGCAGCAGTTCTCACTCATACAGGGCCAATTTAAGCATTCAACCCATTTTATGTTTGCTTATTACTGAATTCAAGATTCTCTGCTTGCTGTCACCTATCTTCAGCAACAAGAGCAACAACAACACACACACACACACACACACACACGCGCACGCACACACACACACACACACGCCCCTGGATTACCCTATAGTGCTGTGCTGTGCTAAGTCACTTCC